GCTTTACTTCTTTATTTACTGTTCTATGTTTTCAGAAAATTAAGTTTAAGAACTTATTTCAAAATAGCAATAATCTATATACATATATAATGTATAATAATAATTGAAATGTGACTGTATTTTACAAAAATACTAGTCTACTAAAACACAGCCAAGACAAGTTACTTTGTACAGACCAAAGGTCAGTTTTATGTTATTTGATGCAGTAATGAGTGCACGTGGGCCTCGTCATTGTAACTTCTGTATTGTTAGCCAGACACAGCTGAAAGGTCAATATAATTAAAATAATAAATATATATAATTTTATGAAATCTAAGCTATTTAGTCTAAACATTTATTTTTTAGTGCTATAATTTGTGTTCATTCTAGAATGAAAAAGTCATAATTTATATTTATTTCCTAATTTTTTATGGTGGTTGCGAGATTGGTCAAATCTACCAAACCCACACAGATACTAATTACTAAAAATAACAGATAAAATGTGAAGTTTTTTCTTAAGAAATGTTTGATAACTATCTTGACATTACAAAGATTTCTCATTTCAAATTTCAAAATTTTCTGATGCATTAAAGTATTTTTAATCTTAAAATGAAAATTCCTTTGCATGATAGACAAGCAACATGCAAAAATAAAAAAATGTCATGAGAAAAACATTGCTTTACAAACCTTAAGACTTAATATAAAAATTTGATATTTTGCATATGAAAGCATTGTAATGTTAACCTGATAATTTGCTAAATTTTGTTAACATTTGCTTACTAATTTAAAACACAAAATGGTTATGAGGTCGGTCCCAGAGACTGAGCCCATGCTGAAAAGAGTTAAAAGATGTCTAAAAGACATGAATAGTAGGTAATAACTCATTGACAAACAATTTTATAAATGAACAGTTTGCTTATGAAATGGGTAAGTGGCAATGACATTTTGGTCACAGACTGCCCACATGTAAAAATCTTTCAGAATTTGCTAGAATCAAAAATGAAGTACCTGATTAATCTGAAAATTTATTTATACTAAAACTGGAAATTTTAAAAAACCCTTTATCATGGATTAACAAATATCAGCTTTTTTTTCCCCAAAAATTAATACATTCACTTTTTGATTTAATTATTTACAGGAATCAGAAAAGGGAGGTTTAGCATTTCACCCTGCCTACTGTTGTGTTTTAGCTTTTAAGCTAATCATGCAGTAAGATTTATTTATTTATATTTATTTTTTGTTCAGTAACTAAGAAGAAAAAGAAGAAAATAAAGCTAGATCCAGAGGGCCTAGCTCTTGGTTCCATGATGATTCGGTCACAGAAAGCTAAATCAACACGATTGGTACATTTGTTAGTTGTAATCTAGTATGATTAGTCTATAAAAAATTAATTGCACTTATATAAATATCACAATCAGTAGAAATTATTTCTACAATGCTTTGTTTAGTACCTGTTAAATGCACTATCTATGACATCTCTCAATTTTGCCAACCATTTATTACTCTTGGTGTACTCCATATTGTACAGTATAAGTACAATGGATTTCCTCCATCATTTTATAAGTTGTCATACCCTCTTGATAAAAATACAAATATAGTGTTATAAATCTAAATGCACACAATTGCTTTAATACTGTTAGTTATAAACTACCATTAAGAGACCAAAAAATATGGGATGTGCTAGATCAGACTTCTTTAGAATAGGAATGGACTGCCCATGCAAACTTCTTGGTTGCAGTCATTAATCAACTTGAACTACGAAACATGGTACTGTTATGTAACAGTAAAACATCTAGCATTAAACAAATACTGAGCTTATAAGATGATCATTCATTTGCTAGTTTGACTAAAATTTAGCTTATTAAAAAGAAAAGAAAATCCTGTTTCGCTCATACATCTATAATTCTGCAACTTGAATAAATATGAAAGTAACTTTTTGCCATTTGAATGTTAATCTAATGCAAATTTTTACATAATTTCATGCATAAAAAACAAGAACATGAACAGATGTAAATATATCAGGATTATTTAAATCTGATATTTTCATTAACTATCAAATGAAACTTAGACAGAAAGCTAGAAAATTTTCATATGTGAGCACAATCCAAAAAAACAAAACTTGATACTGTAAAGACCAATATAATCTACCTTGCAAAGATTGAACTTGGTGAATCTCAGAACCACAGCCCCAAATAAAGGTAAGTTCATTCTTCTCACAATCCCATTGTTAGATCTAAAAACTAGCTTTGAAGACCTTTGCAGGAAAGTAATAATAATACAATCAAATCTTAAATTCAAGCAACAGAAACTAATCCCAAGTCCAAGACCTCAAGAAGAATGCAATAGACACTTCCATATAAAAGTCTGCATTTTGGCTTAGATATGTAGATGACATTTTTTACAGTTTTATCTGTTAAGATGAACAAAAAAAAATTCCTTCAATATATAAACAACCTGCACAAAGACATGCAATTCACACTTGAAAATGAAAATAATTACACAATCAATTTTTTAAATGTTACCATAACACAAACCCTCCTAAGCCTTACCCCTAAAATTTATACAGGCTCTCCAGCATTCCTAGTATTTCCTAGTTTTTTGAATTGGTTCCTAGTTTTTACAAAAAGCTCCTAGTATTCCTAGTTTTTTTTAAATTGAAGAAGTATTTTTCTCATGATCACATGTTGCAATGTTTTAAATTGTGTTTTTGTAAAGTATTTTTACAGAAGCTGTTTAGTTGGCATGTTCCTTTGCTAGCAGTGTGGTCCGGTGTCATTGGTACATAACCCAGCCATCTCAACCTATGTTCACTTAGGTAAGCTTTAATCAAAACATGACTTTCATTAGTTTGTTTTTTCTAACTG